ATGAGTGGAGGTATCCTTGACACGGCACATCATCGGTTGAGGATTTTCGTCGAGTAGTCCGTGCGATGCGCCCCCACTCCTGGAAGAGGGCTCGATACGACCCCCCCTCTAGTCCCCTTCTTTGATACAATCGAGCGGGGAGGGGGATGATAACTATCTTTTGGGAATGCATAGTCATAGAAGGGTGAAGAGGTAATTGGGATGAAGTCTGTTTGCATCCCAAGGACTGGAACTGGCGGGGATCCCACAACCCGGATGAAGGCCTACACTTCAACCTGTTCCAGACCCCATGGGAATCGGACAATATTAGGTTTACAAACTCGGCTGAATGCACGGTAGAACTCTTGATCGAGCTCACCTGCAAGTAGCCGGCTACACGTACCGTAATCCGAATCAACGGATGATTCGCGTTCAATAGACGTCTCCAGTTTCAGCTTTTGCATGTTGTTTTCGGATTCAAGTCTGAAAACACAACAGATGACAAAGCGTATTGTAAAGGCCGTTCTGTTAGAAGGCAGAGCAGTTTTTTTTCCTGCGGTGGCCCTCTACGGATGCTCGAGTGTTTTGTCGCCAGGGTACAGCATTGTGATGTGTTAAATGGTAGTATAGGTACGACCCCTCTTCGGAAGAGGGTGTCAGTACGACCCCCCCCCCACCTAAATGAGGGTTTCTTCGGAAGAGGGTGTCCAGTACGACCTCCCCCCACCTGAAATGAGGGTGTCGGTACGACCCCTCCCTTCCCCAACACCTACTTGCCAATTTCCCATATTTTTCACTTTTTTTCACCCAAAAAAATTCCGTCGAGCGGGCGGGGGAGGTATTTAGTACACATGAAACAGGCAAAATCACGCGAAAAGCCAGCAACCGGGAAAATTTTTTTCCCAACGCAGCAAATTTCTCTCAAATGCACGTGTGACCCTGCTCTCTCCCAACGACCAAATACGACCCCCCTCCCAGGTGAAAAAGTACGACCCCCTGTGTGTTTCACACAACGATGCTGTACCCTGTTTGTCGCGCAATCTCCTGAAAGCCATGAGCGTCAAAATTAGGTCCACTTAATCATCAAACTCTGAAAATGTCTTCACTTTTATAGACTCTATAATTTATATGTTAGGTTTTTTGGGGAGCTGTACTCGCAAAAATCACTAACTTCGTGATTCTCCTCTTCATTTCAGCGATACGCTCTTCTAATTCCGTGACTCGGGTCTTATGCTGCTCTTTTAGTTCACGTAAGCAATCGGCCATAACCACTTCTTTGTCCTCGAGTTTTTTCTCCAAACGGTTTATCTCTTGATCTTTACGTCGGCATTCCTCTTTCTGAAAATCAGATCAACATGACCATTGGTTAAAAGTAACAGCAGGCTCAATATGGTATGAAATGGGACATGGAAATGAAAACTCCGGTATTATTTTTTCCCTGCTGCCTCACACGGAACTGGGCTTCGCCCAACCTGCCAGCGTGCTGGACATCGACAGTTTTGTGCTGGCACTCATCCGGTGCACTTACGACTGCGCGTGCCAGGCGAATGTTCATATCGCGAGGCCTCCCCAGCCGCGAACGCAACTTGAGGGCGGCGTTTTCACCCCAGTTTTCTGTTGCAGAGATGCACACTGGCGCCAGGCGCTGTGCACGATGGATTGGTGTTCGTGATATAGCGATCGGAACAATCCTATGCGGCTAAATGACATCCAGATTCCTCGCTCCTGGAAGGGGCCAATTCGTTCCAATGTAGCCCGAATTTTAAAAGTTGGCAGGTTTGAGGCGAATAGTGCCCAAAACGGAGCATTAGAACTGAGCAGCTGGAGGCATCGCACCAACCACCCCCGGGACCGAAGAGTACAAAGTCTGCGCGCCACTTTGGTCCACGACTCCTAATGATTTTTCGAGCAAAGGGGGGGGGGCGAGGAAGTCATGTTCTGGATAGGGGGGAGCGGGTTTAGCTGGGGCAGAAATTTGTTCTCGAGCCGCCGTGATGTCGCTCTCATCACCGATTATGAGTTCTAAATTATACGACGGAAGAAATATTGAGTGGGTGGGGCAGACTTCAATCCTTGAATGGTCTACACCAGCAGAAAGCGGTCCCCCCCCCCCCCCCCCCCAGCCCCCCAACATCTTTTGGCTATCGATATAAGCTAATCCGGCTTCAGATAAGTATCACATAAGACTCCATATCCCGAGATGGACAGGGCGCTGGCTTTAGATGGGGGATGTTTTTTTTGTACGGGTATTGCCGTATTTGGAGAGATGTTATATATCGCAACAAAGAGGAAGAGACGTTCTGCCTTGAAAGGAAATAGCCGAAATGATGAAAGTATGCAGACACGCCCTCCCCACTTCAGGGGCATGGAGTGTATGTACAACGAAACTAACCAAAACGTCATGTTTCTGCTGTAATTTAGCTAGGGAAGCCTGAAGATGGGTGTAATCGTCCTTAGTTCGCATGGCTTTGTGTTGCTCTTTCGCATTTTGCGTCGAAGTTCCTCTCCTCCCCAAACTGAAATCATGGCTGGCAATCGGCCTAAAATCTCATGTCAAACTATTCCGTGTCCAGAAACATGGTACAAGAGAATGAGAACTCGGAGTTGGAGTTGGCCTAGGAGGGGCATTTTGCACTTTCGCCGCTTTCGCACTGTCGCGTCGAGCCGCCAAGTAGAGATTTGTGAAATGTTGGGAAGTCGTGAACACACTAGTCAAAGTTTATAGAACCTATTTGTCAACTCTTGTGAAGAATACCTGCCAATTCCTGTAAAGCAGCGAGCACGACTATGAGAAGCTGCAAAAGTGTAACATGTCCCCCCTAGAAGAACTGCGTCGGTTTAGTTTCTAGCAAATAGCAATCTTTACATTGAGGTCTGATATTGTTCCTTGGAGTTCAGTCACAGCATTCATTTGACGCTGGGCACGCGATTTCTCTTCTTCGACTTCGGCTTCCGCTCTGAAAATAGGGGATTTTTGTCGAAGGGTACTAACAGATCACAGTTTGAGGCAGGAATCGACCATACCTTAACACTTTCTCTTTTGCCTGCTCCAATTCATCCATCATTCTTGTCAAACGGGCATTTAGCTCAGCTATTTGTGTTTCGTACCTTTCGCATTCCTTTTCTTTTGTCTCTCTGAGCATCTTTTCCTTTTCGAACGCATCACGCAACTAAATATCATTAATGAGTCTAGTGAAATGTGGGACAGTTGGTAACGTCCCAATCAGATCAGTCGTGGCGGTGTCAGGAGGGGCGGAATGAACCCGCCTTCGGCTGCCTTTTCCAACAATGGTGATCGGTTAGTGACCGGTTCAAAAAGGACACAACCAGTTGTAAAACGCCGCGTGTGGGCCCATTCCGCCCCTCTTGAACCCCATAACCCCCTCTTCCCCGACTGATTGCGACGTTATCAAACTGTAGAATAGAAGGATCTAACTTCAAACGAAATCATGAAAGTTACCCTCTTCAGGTCTTTCTCTAGCTCTTCCTTTTCCATGTCCACCTGATCCAGCTTGCGCTCGTATTCACGCAGTGACTCATTCATTCTCTGAAATATATATGTAAGCGACGAAGGTGCGAGAAGGTACTGCAATGTGTTCATTCGCATGTAGTTTTCATTGCACCCCCGTAACCGGAATCGCGTTGTGTCATGTCTCTAATGTCCTCTATATGGACACATTCAAGCTCGAGCTTGAGGTTAAATTGTTCTTTCCCTTGAATGAGTTGACTTTTCGATAGGCAGTACCTTCCCGAATGAACACATTGCAGTACCTTCCCGCGTCTTCGCGTGTCGAGAATACTGTTCAGGAGAACCCTGCCGCGGCGACGCTGCATTCTACGTGACGTCAGGTGCGCGCGAGCTGATACCACGACCTGGTTGAATCGGCGCGAAAGTGCGACACTGAGCCGAGTCACCTCTGTACTGCTCCGGAAGAGGGGGGGGGGCGGGCCTTCGACTCTGTCGCCAGTTCCTTGTGTTAATTGATGTTAACTTACATCTCATCGCACTGGTCCCCTTGTACCATTTCGCACTGCTCACGTAGTTCTAAACCTTTGTAAGGTGGAAGGGCACAGGGGAAGCATTTGCATCAGGAGTTCACAAGATCGGTCTTAAAAGCTTTGCTGAGTACCATTCAGTACCCCGCCAAGCCGAACTGCTACAGCCGACCAGGATACAGCATCGGGAAGCCGAAGCGGCGGTGTCGGCACAAGCCCTATAGCATCACCTCCTCCTGCACGACCCCTTCTGAAAACCTACCCATTATTGAATTCTTCCCCTCATCCAATTCCCTGGAAATTCTACATTTTTCCTTAAAACTGGTGCCTAGCGAGATGCATGTATAGCGCGTATGAAACGGGAACACTCAACAACCGAAAATTTCTACGGCGACTTGAAAAATTCACCTCGGGGCCAAGTGCAACTCCCTTCCCTAGTGACAAAATTGCTTTCAAGAGATTCAAACGTGTATTTCGGAGACAACTAGTTGAGAAGTCGCACGTGACCAGCCATTTTCTGTCAATCGCCATGAATCTCTTGGAAGCAATCACATTTTGTCACTAGGTGAGGGAGTAGCTCGGACCTTCTGATTCGCATCTGCTATCTTGTGATGGTGGTAGACACTTCGGACGGTTTGCCGTCGAACCCTAGTTGGACCACAGTCTCACTGTAAAATGAATCTAGACAGTTCACGTCATACGTTGTGGATTTCTAACGAGGGCGGTCCCGTTTTTTCCCTGGAGGGAGGGGTCGCACCATAGAAGCAAATTTCGAGGTGGAGAGGGGTCGTATCTTGCAAGGTCGTACTTGCAGCTGCAATTCGGCATTTGGCGTTTTGCAAGCTCCTTATCCAGCGGCAGGACAAGCTCCAAATCTAGATGAATCCAGAATACTGCCACAGGACTGGAGCGCTTCCGTGGTATAAGCAGTGCAAGAAATCAGCAGTAGCCCACTACAGCACTCACCATGACCTTCTGATGTTGCTCGTTGTACTTCTTTTCCAATATGTCGAATACGTCTTCGTTTTGCTGCATTTCGTAACGAATCATTTTGATCTCTTTGTTCTTCTCTGCGACCTCCTGTAAATTGGTTTCTCATTGTGCCGTCGTCATTGAAATACTCCTGTATTATATACAACCGCTACCACTGAAGTCAGTCTGACTGTCTCAGCGACGTTGAGTTTGGCGCCGCGCCAGTCCTTTTCCGACCGCGTTTTGGTCGCTCGGAGCAGGTGCCGCGCCAAACCTATGCCCCCTAACACGCCCTGACTGGGTTCCGTGATAACGGCTGTGACAGTCGGCGTGTTCTGTGAGGTAATTGAAGGTGAATAGGCTGTTCATACCTTTGCGCTAATTCGACGAACCTCCTCAGCTGCCTGTTCAGCCTCCTCGACTTTAACTCGGAGGACGTCGCAGCTCTAGGAAAAATGGAATAAAGGATAAAATATTGAACTAAATTCGATCGCAGGATAAAAAACGTGAAAAAGTTCTGGGCCAGAGAACCTGACCTGGAGCTTTTTCACGTTTTTACCCGGGTTTTACTCATTTTACTCACTGCGGAGGCCTTGAGAAGTTCATGACGGAGTTCTTCGTTTTCAGCGCGCAGCTTCTCGTTTTCCAGCTCCAATTCTTGGATCCGCTCCTTATCCCTTTCCTGAAAAAATCAAGACCTTAATGAATTTATTGATCTCTAAGGCGAGAGACTCCTGTAAGGGTAGCCAGTACATGGGAGGCAAAGTGGGTGCACCTTAGTAAGGGACCAGAACAATTAAAGAAAAGTCGGAAGGGGCGCTTCTTGCGAGTATTTAGAGCGTTTTTTGGTAAAACATGTGCCTCTTCACGCTTTTAGCAATGGCAAAACATCACGATTTTATTCGATGAGCGATTAAATCAGGAATCACACGTGGTTACGGTCTCACTCGCTGCGGACGTTGGGGCTTTACAGGGGGGGGGGCTGGGTTAGGCGTGGCGCCAGCCTGCTCTTCTCCAATTGTAAAAGCCGGCAGGCGAGCACAAGTGGTGGAGGCTAGCGCTGATCCCAACCTTAGTCCCCTTCCCCATCGTCCACAACGAGCGAGAGCGCTATTCCTATGGGCGAAGTTCACTCGAATGTGTCCCAACTCATCTTTGCAGCTCGAAATTCGAAATATCAAAATGGTCCTTCTCTTGTTGTTGAGAGGAAATGCAGTCTGGAATTCGATTTGTGATGCGCCACGCCATTTCTATTTATATTCAGAGATCTCACCATCATGTCACGGGCCACCGCTGTCGAGGCCAGCAAACATCGAAATCAGTAGCTCTTCTATATTCTACTATTATGGAGGACCAAAAGCACTCTTACTGAATTTTCGGAAAAAAAAAGCGCGAAACAGGCGCAGTTGTTGGTGGGGCATTTGGTAGTAGTCCTAGCCGACATCTCCTGATGCCGAGATCCGCAAAACTCTTGTAAAGTCATACGGTAGCACGAACATCCTCTACAATACACAAGAGTCCATAGGTATTACCAAGATGAGCGAGTCAGTTAACAGGAACAATTGATAGTGAATTAGCGAACTAATAACAATGCCCCTCATGACCGAACACACGCCGCCGAAACCTCGTGGTCAACCTTGACAAAGAACGGCAGGCCACCGAAGATTTGCTTGAACCTATTAATACCTTGGGTATCAGAGGCCGGATAAGGTTCAGTATACGGTACCATGGCCAATCGGCAAGGCGGGCAAATCTGCGTACGTTGTTCTGTATCGTGCAGGTGGCTTGTCTGAAAGCAATGAGGAAATCATGGCTATAAATATCAGGAAAAAAAGAATAGCTGAAGGATTCAGGGAAAAGGAAACTAATTCTCGATTCCGTGAATTTCCGGGGTCAGATCGACTCACAAGCGCTTTTTCCTCATTCGACAATCCCTCTGCATATTAATCCAACGGAATGTGCGCTTGAAGATTGGTGATAACTGCATTGACATGATCTCTTCGTTTTGCTTCAAGCTAAACGAAAAATTATCCAAATATTGATTCCGACTTTAATCAATAATTAATTTGGATCTGACAAGCACCTCCGATATGAACTTCCGTATTTTACAGAATGATTTTCGCCGTCTTGCCGATTTGATAGAAAGGGCGAAGTGGATCGACCACCTGCGATAGTTACAGATTTCATTCACAGCACGCGGCCTGAAAAGTTCTTTTCCTCTCAAGTTTATCGGGATTATTTCAGCAATTCATTACTCTTATAACATTGATTATTAAAGGACGTTCGCGATAAGGACTGTAGGTGATGGTGCAGAAATATGGAAGAGAATTTGCCAAGTGACCCGTCTCTGAAGAGGAAAATGTCAAAGGGAACGTTAGAAACGCATTTATTGCGACCTCCTCCTGCCTCAACAATTGTACGGGAAAAGCGGAGCACTGCGCGCATGCGGTTGAGTCCCGTCGGCTGGTCATACCTTGATGAACCCTATGAGTGTACAAGCAGCATTGAAGCATCACTTCAACTCATGCCACTGCGGCGGTAGCCATTTGGCTGGAAGGCAGAACTTGGAGGGCGGATGTTCACTCTGAGAAAAAGGAGTACCACTGGAGCAACTTTTGCGCCTTAATTCCTTTACCGTGTAATTTTCCGCCGCAAAACTGACACAGGGCTGTCCACTGCGGACCACAATAATCTTTTGCATTTTCATCGGTCATCGCGGACTGTATACCTTTAGCCGTACGTTATTGAATTTTGCTAAATCATTATATTTATAATAGTCCTTGATCCCAACTATTTAGTACTGCGAAATTTCTTTAGTGGAAACTCTTGCGAGGTTGATATACCACTTTATTCGGCTTACGCACGTTTCGGCGAAACCGCCTTCATCAGAGCCTGAAAGGACCGAAACGATTTGCGACTGTCCGATCAAATGTCTCTGCAGTCCTACTGAAGTTCGACCCAAAAATGTACCAATTATTCAGGTTCCGAACAAATATCAAGCTGAGTATCAAGCTGCCCTGGACCCTCACGGAGATCTATACAGAACAGAATGTATAGAAAAAGCCCCTCACGTAATTATTCCAAAGCGGCATAGAATTCCAAGAAGTCTAAAAACTCTAGAATTTTCGCATTGTCTCTTTTCTACAGAATATTGGCACAGTTCGGCTTGGTGGGGGCACCGAATGGGACACAACTAGGCTAGTACGAGCCATCTTGTGAGAACCTGTGAATTCCTGGACCAGTGTAGCTTACTTGTACCATTTTGCCGCTTGGCAGGAACTTACAGGTCTGGCCGAGTGAGGCGTGTCAGTTAACATGATCCAAGAAAAGGAATTAGCGATGTGCAGAATGCCCTTTCAGACCGAACAGCACCAGTATTCTTTATTCTAGGCACTCTAGAGAGCTTTTCGACCATTCTGCATCTCTTGACTTCCTTAGAACATATTACAGAGCATCTTCTGCTTCTCCTGTCCGGTTGAAGTAGAAGAAATTCCAATTCCAATCAATCCAATTTTCTTATTGATATAATGATACAGAACAAGACCTTGAAAGCCTTCGTCGTTGATTAATCCCCTTTCCTCATCAAAATGCACCCCCCCCACCTATGCAAGTTGACTACTGAAAAATTCTCACGGGGTAATTACGACCCACTTCTAGTGGCCAAATTACACCCACTCCGTGGTTTTTCTTCACAACGGTTACTGTGCCTGTGTTCCATCCGATATACAAGTCAGTGGTGTTCTCCTCCCAGACAAGCTCGGTACCAGCCTCTGAGCGGTGGAGGGCTCGATTTGCTAGAGCGGAGCTCGGAATTCAAACCACTGGACCGCACGCTAACAGGGAGCGGTGACCAGCCTCCGCGCCCCAGTGTGATCGAATGTAAGTATCTTATAATAACATGTGATGTAATAATGGTAACGTCCTTCACATACCATTCGGAAGTGCCTCCTTGGCGAACATATGGTATCGCTGGACAAATTCAGCAAACGGAAGACGTGACGGATAACCTTCGCGGCAGATTCGAATTCCTTCCAGAACGCCGTTACACCTGGAAATTTTGTAAGTAGCAATGAGGAGGCCGTTGTCAACGATTTGCGGGGTATTAGGGCGCGTTTACAATGAAAACCTCTAAGCAATAGGTTCACACGCTGCGTCCGCACGCGTCCTATGCTGGTTGCCTCAGAGACCTGCCAGCTATGAGTGAGCTCTAAAAGAGTTGCTACGAAATAGTATGAAACGGTGAGCGTGGTTCGGCTTAGTGGCGCACCAAATGGTACTCAGCAAAGCCTGTACAGGCCACTTTCTGAAGCTCTGCAGACCCATGTAACAATATTGGCTTTCTCGTTCCATTTCGCAGTTTCACAATGGTTTACCTGTTAGGTAACATGAATCAGCAATGGGAACGAGAGATATAGAAAAATGCCCCTCCCAAGCCTAAACAACGCCGAAAATGTGTTTATAAGAAGACCAGGTTACTCTCGTTCTGGAAATACTTTGCGTCGCGGGTAGAGAAGAGGTGGCGTGGCGTGATTTCCGTATTCTCACTTCAGATGTGAAAAGAAAGGTACCTCAGCTGGTTGAGCACAAGCGGCCCATCGATCTTGCTCGGCACGCGGTCATAGTTCGGTACAACGCATCGAATGAAATGAGCTGATGACGACGACAGCGTGTCCAGGAGACTGCTCAGCTGATTCTGAAAGAAAAGAGTATCATTAAGTTGGTTGTGTCATGGATCTGAAGCAGATTGCAGCATTGTAATATGTCAGCACGACCCATCCCTTCCCGATCTCTCCCTAGATTTCTCATTTTTCAACTTTGCCCAGTTCTTCCCCCAAAAAAGTGCCGTCGAGCGGGGAAGCCTTGGGTGAACTTCGTCATCAAAATAACTACTAGTTTCAGAGCACGTTAGGGATCCCGAGCTAGGCGGTCCTATTTAGTCGCTGGAGGGAGGGGGTGATCTTTGCTGTTGAGAAAAATGTTTTCGATGTCCTCTCGGCTTTTCCTGCCTTGAACACTCCCTCCCCCCTTTTCGACAACACTTTTTTTTCTGAAAAAAGCGGAGAATCCTCGGAAAGAAAAGTCCGAGGTAGTGGAGTGAGGTTAGTAGAGGTCAGCAAGATAATGTAGGAACGGAGGCATGGCAGATCATTTGTTGGCGGTTTTGGTCGAGTCCGTTGCGGCCCCTCCCTTTGGGGGGTTGGTAGACACCCCCTCTGGTTCCCTCCTCATGGAAGCTGTTGAGCGCGGGGGCAGGGCGGGGGGGGAATGTAAGTAGTGCACATGGAACAGGAAAAAACCACGAAAAGTCAGCAACATCCTTCAAAAGGTCAGAAGGGATACCCCCCTCCCAACAACGGGCGACATTTGACCCTTCCTCCTCTGCCGTCCCTTGAAACAAAAAAAAATCAACTATGCAAAACTACTTTCCCAGCCAAATACGACCCCCTCTCTTACCGACCAGAACGACCCTGGGAACTTCAACAAACAGCGGTCCTGGGAGAAGGTCCTACCAGGGAAGAATTATTGTGTGAGAGGGGGGGTGTTATATTTTAAAAAGACTTTCGCCCAATTGGCAGGAATGCTCACTGGATTACATTTCAATAGTTTGGAGTAGCATATGTGTTCCACGCGGGCAAACTACAGGGAGCGTTCATAGGAAAGCACATGAAACTGAAAAAATAAAAAAAAGGCAACAACAGGAGAAATCATTCCAAAGACTACCCACCAAGGGTACATATGGCCCTTCTCTAGTGACAAAGTACGATCCCCACTGTGGTATTCTCCCAAATTGCTGTATCCCACTGACGGCTGTATAAATACAGGCGCGCTAGGAGGGTCTGCCCAAATCTGAACCGTCGAGCCTGCTACGCCCTCCACAGGCAGATCCCCTTCCATCTATCCCAGAGGTACTCCACTGCTTCCTCGGCTCTCTTAAAATGTTGAAAGTAAATTGTAAATACGTTGGCCGATGTAAACTTTGATTAAAAAACGCCATGTACGGGTGACTTCTCTCCCTTGCCCCCCCCCCCTTCACAACACGACGTAAAGTAAGATTTCGAAAAATGCCACCGTTAACTTTGTAACTGTATGCTGTTCGCCAACCTTGTAGCGGAACGTGACCGTAGACTGGCAGAGCGTACCACGTCGAGATCGAGTCACATCAGTTGAAACTAAAATTCCGCAGTAAGTACGATTTTTATTGAGGAAAAAACACCTCGAAAATATCCAATTTTTACCGCAGTTCGCCTTGGCGGGGGCAGCTCATGCTTAGCGAAGAATGTACAGGCCTTGCACAGGCCAACTGCTATGAACTCTTGCAATAAAATGGGTCAGTCACATACACCATTCCGCAGCTATTTCACAATTCTTTACAGAAGCTAAAAAAACGAACCAATTTCCTGGCCAAGTGCCCCCCCCCCTCAACCGAACAGCGGCGCCCCATTTTTTATGGCAACAAAGCAACAACCCGAGCATAAGAAATTCAAAGAAATTTATTTAGATGAGGCCCTAGAAACTGTTCCTTGCGGAGACCAGACGAGGGCGATCGTGAGGATATTACTAACATAGGCAGCTGCTGTTGTCGAATCTGGAAACATGAAAAGTGGTCCTGTTTTGTTTTGGAACGGACCTACTGACAGCCTCGGAGGGTGCTGATCGCAATTATCACTGGTCAGCAGCAAATCACCATCAAC